CTTCCCCTGTCAGTGTGAGAATAGTTCAAATGAGAGCTGGTCCTGCCTTTTGCCCCATCAAACAAGTAGGGAACATGGGAGGAAGCAAGCATCATGTGGCAGAGAAATCCACAGAAGCCAGCAGAATGGCTGGGATTTTTGCTATGTAATATAATGTCATATATAAAAGCTATGCCTTCATATAAAGCAACATACTATACAAAAGTCCTAAAGCACTGAAACTAGTTTTGGATTTATTTTCTGTGTATCTTGAAACTAATTTCTATACCTACAAATAGCTGATCTATTTTAAACATACTATAGCACGCACACCGAGAGAGAGAAAAAAGTAAACCTGAAGTAAATCAGGATTTCATTTAGCAGCTGGATTTTCTCAGGCTCTATGCAAAGGATTTGTAATTTAAGAAGTGAATGACTCCTGAGTGAGCAACTTCTTGCACTGTGGGCAGAATTTAACCCATGAATGATTCTTAAAGCAAGTATTTTTCTGATTCTAGAAAGCAAGCTATGATCCTAGAAAAACATTGATAAGCAGGACTTGATCAAAAACTCACCTCTGGACCTCCCCTCAGACCTGTGATGTGCAGGACTCTAAACTCAGCTTTGGGATTGCTAACTTCTCACAGGAGGCTCTCATCAGGTCAACACAAATAGCCTCCTCACTACCTACCAGGCTTCTTCTGAACTAGAGAGTCATTTGAACTGAGCTGCAGCCAGAGAGCAGAATGCCCCTTTACTCACAATTCCTGCAGCTTCAGGTGGGGTTGTGCCCAAAGGCTGCCAGCTAGTCCAGCTGAGGACTCACCCCACAGAGTCATTTGTCTGCTCTTCTGCCTTGTACTTGGTTTCCACAGGATGACCATGCAGGATTTTTCCCGTATAGCCTTTCCACTTAGTGTGCTGAGCTTTTAAGTGATCTCAGATCTTCACTTCAAATGCCACTGCTAGATGAGAATTACTGAGAGACAGGCTTGGTAAGGGCTGACACAGTAAAGTGTTGTGCTTTAAGCCCAGTTGGCAACTAAGCACAACACAGCCACTCACTCAGATAGATTTCCCCACTGTGGGATGGAGAGGATAAAATATAAACAACACCTCATGGGTCGATACAAGGACAGGGCAAGTTCACTTGCCAATTATGGTCGTAGGCAAAACAGACTTGACTTGGGGAAAAAAAAATCAATTTATCACCAATCAAATCAGAGCAGGATAATGAGACATGAGATCAGATCTTAAAAACACCTTTCCCCACTCCTCCCTTCTTCCTGGCTCAAGTTACTTCACCCCTGATTTCTCCACCTCGTTTTCCCCAGCAGCACAGGGGGACAGGGAATGGCGGTAAGGTCAGTTCATTTCACATCATCTCTGCTGCTCCTTCCTCTTCAGTAGTAAGAACTGCTCAGTCTTCTTCTGTTTGGGTATGGGGTCCCTTCCACTGGACAGAGTCCTTCATGAACCCTCTGACATTAGTCCCTCCCCTGAGGTGCAGTCCCTTGGGAACAAACTGCTCCAGTGCGGGCTTCCCACAGAGTCATGGCCTGCTTCGGTCACAGTCACCTCCCCTGGTGTGGGGTTCTCCATGGGTTTTAACTCCACATTTGCTTCATCCACCATGGTCTTCATGGGCTAGTCTACCATGGTCCTCTAAGACGACCATGCTGCTGTCTGACCATGCTGCTGTCTGACCACAGGCTGCCAGGGAACCTTTGCTCAGGCACATCATCTCCCTCCTTCCTCACTGTCCTTGGTGTCTGCAGAGGTGTTTCTCTCTCACCCCACTCCTCTCCCACCTACAGGCCTCTTTTATCAGTTTAATTTTCCCTTCTTAAATATGTTATCACAGAGGCACATGCCCCATTACTGATGGGCTTGGCCTCAGCCAGAGGAGGGTCCGACTCAGAGCCAGGGCAGCTTCCAGCAGCTTCTCACAGAAGCCACCCTGTAGCCTCTCCCTGGCAACCAAAGCCCCACTACACAGACCCAGCACAATAAGTAAAAATGTGAATTGCCATATCATGTTCTGGGTATGAACAGCATGACTTGAAACATGGATCAGAGGGTACCAGCTTGCCCTGTTTCAGCTCCAGCCCCTCCTTCCTCCTTTTGCCCCAGCTTTTAAGGCTGAGCATAACATCTGGGGCCTGGGGTCACCTACCTTGCACCTCCAGCCTCCTTGCTGGCAGGGCAGGCTGCAAGGCAGAAAAGGCCTTGATGCTGTGTGAGCACCCTTCAGCAGCAACTGAAACATCCCTGTGCTATCAAGCTTCTCAGCACAAATCCAAAATATGGCCCTATACAAGCTAAGATGAAGAAAATTAACTCAATCGTAGCCAAAACCAGCAGAGGTTCCTTGGGCTTGCTGACCCGTCTGAAAAAAAAATGAACCGTCTGCATATGCACTATACAGCCAGCACTTGCTTGGGCAATTCAATAGATTCTGAAAAAATTATTCTGGGGGAAGGAGAATTGAAACATTTTCTGGGATTTCCAGTTGACCAAGCACCCGGCTGACTCTCAGACAAAAGAGCCATCATGCAAGTATACGCTGAATCCCGTGCACTGGGCATCTTCTCTTGCACTTTTGGACTTTGTGTATGTGAAATCACAGGCAAATAGCAAAGTTTTGCTTTTTTTTTAACTACACTCAACTTCTAGATGGGAAAAAAGGACATCTTCTGAGATGCTCAGGGTTCTGTTACTCTACTGGTATTTTCTCCTGGTCCCCTGCTCCACTAACTCATTCAGTGGTAACCCAAATACAACATAATTAGTGTCACTGAAATAATCTGATTCCCCTTTAAAATTGTTAAAACACTGCATATTCCTATGTCATCACATTTTACAAGGTCTTTCAGCTCACTGCCATTCACAGATTTTCTCAGGAGCCTGAAGACTATTTATCACAGTTTTTCAATGCCAAGTATTTAATTTCTGCTAGGTCCTCCATAGCTTTTGCCAAGGTGGATTTTTGTTACCTCAGACATGTTAGAATACAGCCTTTGTACAGCAACTTGTCATCTTAAATCTGAATAAAACATCTGAGAGCACATTTACTAAAAATGCACAAAGGGAGTAAAGAAATAGTTGAAAATTCTTGAACAAGCAAATTAATTTGTAATAAGCTTTTTCATAAAGGAAGTAGTTCCTCTCCGACATGAGTATCACTCCAGATTCGAATCACAGGATTATTATTTTTTTTATTACAGGAAACACTGGGAGCTTATATTCTCCTACTACGGTGCTCTGTGCCACTGAGAAAAGTACTTCAAACCTAAACAGTGTGATGAAAACCAGGTGGGTCTAGAAATGTACTATTTTTGTTCAAAATGCACATGCATTTTAAGCAGTGACCAGAGGGCATGTCTTAGGAATTACCCTCAGGTATGGACCATAAAAAACTGAAAGCACAAATTTCTGATGCTTTTGGATCCAGAGTTCGAAGCTCACTTAGTTTCTGAGATATTACAGAACATGTGGTCTACACCATAAATACTTCCTAGGAAAAAAAAAAAAAAAAAAAAAGCAATAACGACCCAAACACTTATATATTTAAAGTTAAAGTAGTGAGTCATTTAGGGGGAAAAAAAACCGCATGGGCATTGCAGTTAACCCCAGCTGAAGCACATATATTTAAAAAACATCAGTGAGAAGGTCATCCTTGAAGGAAATCCCAAAATAATGACAAAAGAAGTACCAAATTAAGGCACAGAAACAAATTAAACTCTCCCATTTCATTGTCAGGCAATATATACACAATTAAGACACATTGATGTTTACAATGACTGTGGTCAGCTCTTTTTTAAAGATTAATTTTTCTTCCTAATGTTTCCCTTTCACAGCTAAATTAAGAATTTCATTAAGAGTAAGGTTGTTCAAATGTAGCTTTTACATTATAAATCTTTACAAGCCTGCAGTCTCTCCATTATATTTATTTTCTCTTTTCTACACAAAATGAATCATTGTTCTAAACATACCCCCCAACACTATTTATACTGGCCTTAGTTATTACATCTGTTTTCCTTCTGTCTGAGCAACTAATGTGGAATTCCATTCAAATAGCTTTACCTTAAAAATGTGTTTCCAAAATATAAACAGAAAGATTTCTCCCACGCATGTGTGTATCCATAGGCATCTTAGAAAGGCACGCAGGGCAGACACTACTCTTCTCAAATGCTTCTATTCTTTCATCACACCAGCACAAGTCACAAACACCAAGAAAGAAAACAACACCTGAATATAGGAATAAATCGTTCATTCCTTATGGACAGGGTGGTTTGTTTTTTAAAGAAAGGGGAGCTGAAACACGTCTCATTCAAACAGCAGCAGCCTCATTAAATCACACAATTATAACACTAATGATAGTACTGCTTTCTGAAATGGAAACACTTAGACCATGGAATTGACCTGTTGTTCCTTAACAGGGACACACTTCAGCACTACAGCACTTCTTGTAGAGGGAATCTGCACAGTGCTATGCTTTTCTCTCCAAGTTTTGTTTGGCTTTGTTAGAAAAAAAAAAAAAAAAAACCAAAACATACTTTTTATATAAATAAAGAACAGTGGATAGTAAAAGAAAGTGGATGCCTGTGAGAAAGATGAAGGTCTCCTGACTGCAAATACCCTATTATTGTCTTACCGTCTTCTTAAGGACTGGAAGGCATCACAGCTCAGCAGAGTTCCTACTCATTTGTTCTTGTCTGCTGTATGTACAATAACATATAACTTCACTATTGTCAACGGGATTAATTATTTATACATCATATACTCCATAGCCTCACAACCTTTTAGACACAGTTCCTAGAAACTTAGAGCTATGGTTGGTGTCAAATACTTTATTTTTGTCCTTGGTTTTTTTTTAATTTAAAAGTCAAACTAACAAGAAGATGCCATGCAACTCAGCAGGAGGTTTAAAAAAGTATTCAGGGCCATTCACAAGTCTCTTTTTTCATATCAAGAACTTGATTGTCTTTTCCCCAAAGAACAGAATGATCAGCAACGTTTTAGATACACTGTCGATAAAAATAGAAGTAGTAATCGGTAAAAAACATTCCAGCAAAATAAGGCTCTGTTGAGCAGACTGCAAAACCCTGCAGAAGACAAAAACAACAAAAAAAAAAAGATTCTTACAGGATCTTCACTCATTACAAATGCTATTTGTCTTTTGCCATGTTGCCATTTGAAAAGGCTTACCGGTACAGCTACACGGAAGTAGTACGCGCTGTCATACAATTTAGCTACAGGGAGAGTCCAAATATGGTGACGTCCCTAGAGGATAAATGAGGGAGAGAGATTAGATAACCTCACTTCACATTAAACTGGAGAGAAGAATAGGCTTTGGAAACATTTCATTGACAAATGCAGTGCAATGTAATTACTGTAAAAAGACTTGATAGCTATAGTCAGAGTATTTAAAGTTTCTAGTGTCTCAACTCCAACTTTCCCTCCTCCCTTCACTTTCTGACACATTCTCTGTTGGAGATTATATGTTCACATGATACAATTTATGTGAGACTGCTGAATCCAAATGATTGCTGTCCTATCTTTTGGTAAGGAATAAGCTTTCCAGTCCCTGGGACAATGCTCTTGAAAAAACCCTCTCCAACCAGGTAGCAGACGATCAAAAGTTTGCAAGATCAGGTCCCTAAGTATTTTTTACTGGGAAAAGATAACATGTTTTAACAGCTTTTATTCCCATTGAGGCAATCTGGAGAATGACATGTAAACAACTCTTGCTTTTAGAATGAAGAACTTTCCCTAGAGAGATTTACTGGTAAACTCACATTCACAAAGAAATAAATCACAGAATCTCAAGGGTTGGAATGGACCTTGAAAGATCATCTAGTCCAACGGCCTTGCCAGAGCAGGGTCACCTAGAGCACATCACACAGGAACGCGTCCAGGCAGGTTTTGAATGTCTCCAGTGAGGGAGACTCCATAACCTTTCTGTGCAGCCTGTTCCAGTGCTCTGTCACTCTCACAGTAAAGAAGTTTTTCCTCACATTAATGTGGAACCAACTATGCTCCAGTTTGCACCCGTTGCCCCTTGTCCTATCACTGGACATCTCTGAGAAGAGCCTGGCTCCATGCTCCTGACACTCGCCCTTAATTTATAAACACTTATAAACATTGATGAGGTCATACTACATTTTTTTCCAGTGAAATCAGGACTTAAAAACTGGAACTCATTACCCATAAGACAATAATGGAAACAAAGGCCTTAGGTGAAAATACTCCCATTTCTAAAGTACCTCTGGAGATATAATGAGTTATATGGGTGAGTTAGGCTGAAGCAGACTGAAAACTGTCCTTGTAGAGATTTTTATAAAATTCAGTGTAAAACTGACTCCTGCAAAACATTGAATCTCATTATAGTCATGCCAAAGACAACTTTGACTAGCAAGACTCAAAGTACCCCTTGGATTTCTACTACCTTAATCAAGATCAGAAATTTGCAGCCAATGATTTTATAAAAGCAATCCCCACACACCAGAGTATGGCTCCAAAAATCTTACCTGTGTGGTTTCTAGGAAATCCTTCCTACTGTTTTTGCTTGAAGAATAATGGGAGCAATAATTTCCCAATGTGACTTTGCAGAGAAATACAATTAATGGTTCTGTGGTGCTTCAAAAAACAGAAGGAGAGAGAAAAATAAGGATCTACTCCATTGCTTTTAAATAGAAGAATCACATATATAAATATGATATAGACAGAGGGGGGAAAAATCCAAATAATTTAATTGTGGAAAAATACAGCAGAGGAGGAGCTTACTTCACTTGTTGATATGGAGGAGATAAACCTAAGCCACCAACCTCTAGCCTGGTCTCATTCCTTCCCATGGATGGAGGATGTTCTGCATTTGGAAATGTGAGTGAGCTCTACAGTCGTTGAGATAAATCTAGAAAGGTACACTAAGCTTCCTCAAACCTTAGGCATATTCCTACCAGAAGCTATTGTATATGACTTCTTATACATGTTAATATTCATTACATGCTTGAGTTGCACAGCTTGCATTATGCATAGGCATAATATACCTATACCAGAGGGCACCTGGGCATCTAAACACAACGTCAATTTTATGGAAGACAAAGTCATAATAAACCTTAAACAGGGACCTGTACAAATAACTCCCATTTGCCACTGGACACATGCAAATATATCATTAAAAAGAAGTTAAAATATTCCAGATTTTGTCTGGGAAAACAGTGGTAAACAGAACTTCATTCAGAATCCTTCAACAGCAAAGACCCCATGGCCATATATTCTCCAAACCATCTCTAGGGAGAGTTTCCAGTACTTCCTAGTTCATTAGATGGCTTTTCTGAGAAGAGTATAAACAAACAAAAATACCTTGTAGATTCAAAGGAACTCAGTTATATCGATGGCTAGCAGGAAAAAATGAAAGCAGAAGGTGGGGAAAAGGTAACATGAATATTTACAGCCTATGCTGAGGGGAACAATGAAGCACACCACAACAGAATGTGCTTTTCCAACATTCAAAAGGTTATTATTACAAGAAACATTAGTTTTAAAATTTATCATTCATATATGGCAGATCCTCTGTCCTAAATTGGCTGGCAGTAGTTGGTTTCATTTGTTTTTACTCAGCAGGTTTTTCAAATTTTTTAAGTATTTACAGTATCTTTCAGTGTTTGGACACAGTAATCCAAATATGTTTGGGTTTTGTTAAGTGTTTTGATTTCTGTTAACTTTGCAGCTTTTTTTAGTGGAAGTATATAGAAAAGGCATACACTGAAAATCAGCTTTGTCTCAAGCCACAAACCATAAACTCAGCAACTGCTTCAGTGTAACTCTGAGTATGATGTATTAATCCCTACATGGGAGGGCTGTATTATTAGGTTATAATGGCATACACTTAAAAGACATTTTCAGTTGCTGTAGAAAACAAGTAGGTATTTCTAGAGTACTCATATATATTTCCTCTTATCTGAAAAAGGTGGATGTTTACAAGGATAACATTCAAGATCAAAAGAGGGGACCTAAAAAACTTTCATAACTTCAGCGCTCTTTCTTAGAGAAAGTGGAGTCACAAAGTGTCATCAAGCTGAGTGTTTGGCAGTTGTTGCTGCCTTTCTCATAGAAGAACCCCAAAATAAAGGATTGTAGTGCTTCTGGGAGAACACAATAGAGCTAGGCTTTCATTGGGGGAGAAAACATATGCTGAGAGGAGTAGGTGTGCTCCATATTCCTCCAGTAAGTCTTAATTTTATCTATTAACAGACATTCCTGCAGAAGAATCCCTTCTTGTAGGGCTTCGCAAAACAAACCAAAAAAAGGTGTTCTCTGGAGTAATCTATGTATGTTCCTAACAGTATTTTTGCACACCAAAAACCCCAAATCCCTAGGTCAAAGGCCACAATCCTGTTACTATATATGTCTGCTTAAATGATTGTTAGACCGAACCTTAAGACCACTGGTTTTTAATACCTGCATCAGTGAGTGAAATACTCATGGTACTGAGAGCAGCACTGGGCCTGTGCTACAGGAAAAGATCCACCCCAAGGTCTATATTAAGGACTTAGTTGTGCACAGATTTTTCCCACACCTCTGAACAGGGACAGCTTAGTGTCAACAGAGAAATCATGAATGACTTTTTAAAAAAAAAAAAAAAATGAGCCACTATCTTGTTATGCCTTTATTAACTTAATTGGACTTACTTTATTTCCAGTGAGATTTCTGCATCCATGGGTGTATATTTGCTAACAGGAATAACAAAACTGTGATTTCCAGACCTGAAAAAGGAGGCATTCATGCACACAAGATTTCAAGATAGATGGTATCTTTGTAAAAACAAGGAAATTATATTTCAATTTAAAAATTAAAAAAAAATTAAAAGGTAGAAAAAAACTCCTGCACACTCAAGGTAACAACTGTGAGAAGGAGCCAGCCAAGCAGCAATGCCACACTAATGGCATTCTATACCACCATAATAAAGCATGATGAAACAATTCATAGAATCATAGGGTTTGGAAGGGACCTCTGAAGTCCAACCACCTTGCTGCAGCAGGAACACCTATGGAAGATCACACAGGAACATGTTCAAACAGGTCTTGAAAGTCTCCAGGGAAGGAGACTCCACAACATCTCTGGGTAACCTGTTCCAGTGCTCTGTAAACCTCACATTAAAGTTCTTCCTCATGTTGAGGTGGAACTTCCTGTGTTGCAACTTGGTGCCATTTCCCCTTGTCCTATCACAGGGCACGACTGAAAAGAGAGTGGCCCATTCTTGACATCCACCCTTCAGATATTTGTAGACATTAATATAAGGTTCCCTCTTAGTCTTCTCTTCTCAAAACTGAACAGCCTCAGGTGTCTTAGCCCTTCCTCATATGACAGATGTTCCAGTCCTTTAATCATCCTTGTAGCCCTCCACTCGACTCTCCCAAGTAAATTCCTGTCCCTCTTGAACCGGAGAGCCCAGAACTGGACACGAAACTCCAGATGTGGTCTTACAAGGGCAAAGTAGAAGGGGAGGAGAGCCTCCCTCAACCTGCTGGCTATACTGTTCTTAATACATCCCAAGATACTATTGGCTCTCTTGGCCACATGGGCACATTGCTGTCCCATGGATAACTTCTCCACCAGGACCCCAAGGTCCTTCTCCATGGGGCTCCTTTCTAGCAGGTGAACCCAATTCACTTACCTGCACTGTAGATTTTTACTACAGTAGCGACTGTCAATGCTCTGCTGAGTTTCCAAGATCTGTATGGAACTGATTGTTGTATCAATCCCTGAAAATATAAAGAATCATGTTTTCTTCCTGGTTATTTAAGAAATCTTAGATAACAGCATAATAAAATTCCAGTTAATACAGTGGCATCTACTCCCTTGCTTGCCACTACAGGAGCTGCTACAGGTCTAAATTAACACTCAGTAAAAAGCTTCTTGTTCGTTACCTTCCTTCTGCCATTACAGGAGAGATAAGATCCTTGTTCAGCTTACAAGGACAAATATCCTGGGCACCTAATATTGTAGAACCTTCTTTTGAGCAGCCATCGCAAGTTCTTTTGGTGGCAGCCCAAGTAGGATATAAATGTGTCGATTTTCATGGACTAGAAGCCATGCTCATGCAAGTAACCATTAATTTTGTTAAAAATTAATACATTTTTGCCAAAATAAATAATTTGGAATGCAACAAAACTTTTTCCTTAACTGGTGTGCAAAAAAATCTACCTAACTCTTCTGAATATTGTAATTTTGTCATAAAACAGTCTTGAACTTCAAAGAGCTTAGAGTTTTGTAATATT